CCCCCTCCTTCTCCCCCTCCTCCTTCTCCACCAGCTTGTCTCCCTCCTCCACCACCTTCTCCCTTCTCCCCCTCCTCCTCTACCAGCTCCATTCTCCCCCTCCTTCTCCCCCTCCTCCTTCTCCACCAGCTTGTCTCCCTCCTCCACCACCTTCTCCCTTCTCCCCCTCCTCCTCTACCAGCTCCATTCTCCCCCTCCTTCTCCCCTTCCCCATTATCCACCAGGTTCTTCCTCTCCTCTTTTTCCACCAGCTTCTCCCTTCTCCCCCTCCTCCTCCACCAGCTCCATTCTCCCCTTCCTCCTTTTCCACCAGCTTCTCACCCTCCTCCACCACCTTCTCACTCCCCCTCCCTACACTGCTCCTTCGCTACCCTGTACCAGAATTACGAGAATGCTGACGATGTTCCACTGATACGCCCGAAACGCCGATAGACCGCGTAGCGCCATCTGGCGGTGGCGTTTGCAAGTTAATTTACGACGCTAAACTTGATGTTTACCTCCTAGGCATCTGTTATAATAATTATGATATCTATGGTTTTACTCCATAGAGATCTATTAAATAAACTTCACTCCAGTCTCTGAGTGCCAGCTGTTTATTTTCCAGCCGCTATTATTTATTATTTATTTATTTATGATTTATTCCGCCGCTAGAGGGGGGACTAATTCACCCAACATGGCTGCCCCCATGTAGTGACTCGTCTATTTATCAATTGGTGAGCAGGCAAAACACCACGAAAACCCACACTAATAGACAGCAGACATCACAAATAATTATACAATCGCAAACACAGAACATTTACCCATACCCTGCCTGTGGTTCCCAGTGAGCTCCCTCACAATTACCTCGCTGGGAACCGTGCCCGTGCCCGTGGCCGTGGTGACCGGTGCCACCGCCACATTAGTCATTACTTAGCTCTAGTAGGCCTAGTACTAGTAGTAACGCTCATACTCATACTCATAGGGTCTATGTCCACCAGGTTACTGCCGGAACTAGCTCTAGTACTATAGCACGCGTACATTGACTGCCACAGGGCTATAGAACATTTTCAGCTCGATTTCGCTGCAACAGTTCCCAAAGTTCCCACGAAAAATCGCTTTACAAAACGCTAAATGATCGGGCTTTTTAACACTTAATGACTTATCTATCTACGTGGACATCTCACCTATCTTTTTGAACACTTTCCACAACTTTACACCATGTATTTATGCATTTATTACTCACAAGTAGGCAAAACAATTCGTTTCGAAATATTGTGGCGTGCGAACGCATGACGTCAGACCGCGCCAAAGGGTTAAACATGAATCAATACATAATATAATCTGCCCCTTGCCGCAAGTTACATGTATGGTGTTGAGTGTGGCATTTCTGTTCTATTAGAATTAATAAATCCCTGGAAGCAAAAGACATCCCATAAATAAAATGACAATCCCACATATGAATATCATGCATAGGCCTACATGCACGTTAAACCCCGGACCAGGCTGTTTGTGACTAACGCAATTACACCGCCTGACATCCATCCATTGAAAAATCTTTGTAGCTGCCTACAAAATGACTACCGAACAATTTACGCTTATATCTTCAAATAAATGGACCATCTTAAGCATTTCTGCCTTGTTTTGTACTCAAATATAACCTTCACCTTATTAGTTATTCCAGCCGTTGTTTATTAAAACTAGATACCCTCAGCTTTTGCTGTGACACAACTGTACACGATTTCAAAAGACGCCCAAACCGAAATTTCAAACTAACGCAACGCCATGTTTGCAATGCGCATGATTTCGAACGGCCACGCGCGCAAACCCGAAACGCATAACATACCATAGCGTTGCCTACTTGCGTTGGCGCGAGCAGTAAAGAAAGCATCATATACTCGTATATATAAAATATTTAAAAACATGCAAACCAGGAATCGTCAATCTACAACAACTTTAATAATTTATCATGCGAAGATATGTACTTGCCGTTGAGCATTTGGCCTACGCACTGTGGAAATCAGGTCCATCTGGCCGATTTTAGTTACACTGAACCATGGGCGACAGTGGCGGCTGTCTGGTTGTTTTGCAGTCCAATAATGCTCAGAAAAACGGCCATAACTCGAAAGAATAAGTAGGCGCCAGTAGCCGCGCCCAGTTACCGCCCGAGCAAGCCAGAGTTATAGATTTCGTTTGAGGCGATTACATGCCTGACGCTACCTGTGTACGCATGGTTGGACCGAAGCCCAACTACAAGCGAATTGTGGGCAAGAAGTTGAAGACGTATTCTAACCTATGCAATACCGTTTCTTGAGCTACCATTGCCACTAAAACATTCCAAAAACAAAAAGAAGATAGGTCTATCGCGTCAGCGTCCTACCAGAAAAAACACGATGCCCGCTCTAAAAACAGATCGAGGAATGTGCCTCCGACTTTGCTGATGGAGCGATGAAAATTAGAAGTTCGTGACGTTCGGTTGTCGATTAGTTGCGATTTACGCCTATGCACCTTGGGAGTCATGAGCAGTACCGGCGCGACATATTTGCTAATTAATTAGGCTAATTGCTCTTCAATAATTATTTGAAGACTCAGCAGGGCATCATAGCTAAGACGGACGTGTCTTATAATAAGCTAGAATTTATAGAAAGTGTTAACTTCCAAATCGTTCTCGCCGATATGATAGTAAGCTTCTCCTACGCCGGTCAATACAGCGGCCGCTGTTGTGTGCGCAAAATTGGAAAACGAAATGACATCACCCGACATTCTATTTTTATCCGCCCCAATCACCAGGTCCGGGAGCACTGTCCTCTGCCTTAGACGGCAGCGTGGTCAAGCATAGAGGCGGATAGATAGATAATAGTTTATTGGGCCAAAACCTAGTTGTTAACAACGTTACCAAATTAAATAAATTTTGCCAAACAACGATGATCATGCAGGCAGTAGTAAAACTGAAATTGCATGATATTATCAATCAATATATAGCGCCATGGTACAGACATAGATATCAGCTTTCAAATGTTGGTTTCGCTACAAATTTATATCATACAACTAAAAACCGCTGTTAGAAGATCTGACTAAATTAAAACAATAACGGTGATCCTTTGGGTCCAAACGATCAGTTACACATTAAAATGCAACACAATGATAGAATCAAACATATCACATAACGAACAGTTTGCCCAGCAGCAGTTATTTCAAAGAGCACCAAAATGCTTTAGTAAAGCGGGCGCCAAGCCCAAAAAGACTAATCTATTTGCATGCTAATGTGGCTAAAAAATTCACCGGTGGCCTGGTTTAACATTTGCTTAATCATCGCCTGCACATTGTACAGAACAGGCGACTTGATGTAGCCGGCTGGTACGACGGACTTAGCTAAGCTCGGTGTTTCTAGAAATTCGCGGGTTATGCGCGGTGCGGCGGTTAGACACCATTTATTGCTGGAAGGAGGGCAAAATATCCTGTAATCGTTTACGAACATTTGAGGCTGATAAGCAACATTTTGGCAAAGCTGCTCGTGACGAAACGCAAGTCTTTGGATTCTGGAACCTGAGGATAGTACCTCATGGTGTACATGTCGTACCGTATTCAATTATTATAACCTATTATTATTTTTCACTGCTGCTCTAGCTTGAACAGATTACAATTAGACGTGGCAGAGCCCTTTGGTAAGGCCCGGGTGCCAGACGGGTGCAGCATATTCCAGAATCGGTCTGATGTAACCACAGTAAATTTGTACGAGATCTTCACAGCTAAGCCTAGATTTTTTTAGTATACGAAGCATGAACATTCTTTTACTGGCTCTAGCCACCAAATCTTGAACGTGTATGGCCCATTTAAGATCGTGCTGGAAAAATACACCCAGGATCTTTAAAGTTGTCAAATTTTCCAATTGAAAGTGTTCTAAAAAAGGTTCAGCATCTTGAAGTCTATTTCTACCAAAGTACACCTGCATATAACTTTGCATTTTGCAGGGTTAAGTTTTATTTTATTTGAAAAGGCCCAGCACTGGTTAGATGCGTCTCCAGTAGTGTCATATCGTCGACGTCGTATTTCCATTTCTGAACTAATAGTCCTTCAGCAGCATCGTTGATCATGACCAAAAACAGTAGCGGGTCCAGCTTTGGGCCCTGGGGAACACCACATGTTAACCACTGGTACTTGGAGGTAAACCCTTTGTATCGGACGCATTGTTGCCTCAATTTTATGCTGGATGTCATCCATGATCCACGTGTAGACGGGGTTCTCTGCTATTTTAGCGAAAGTGCAGCTTAGAGAGATTTGCCTTAGCTCATCAATTGAAGGAGAGTACACCTTTGGTACAGGGCAATACGATCGCCTGTTTCCAAGCTTGAGGTACACAACCTTGCAGAAGAGATGCGTTGATTACATCAGCCAAGGGTGTCGCTAACTCGCTCTTGAATTAGACGTTCAGCCAGACATTTGGTATGTCAAAAAACAAACCAAGGTCAACGTAGCAACTTCAGCCTATAAAATATCACAGGCGTAGAGATCGCGTATGTGGAAGGCCCTGTAGCGGGAGTGAAGGGACTACACCGGGCGGTAGAGCTACCTGTTTTATTGCCGTTGTTTTTATTTTCGATTCAGTGGTGTAGCTGAGGTGCTGCATAATTAGCGACAATGAGGACATCTCCTAGACAAGTGTACAGCTGGCTGCACATGCTAAACTCTCGTTGTAGCTTTGGGCCCAAGCAGAGGTCATTACAGAACTTGACAGCATGCTGCGTCAAGCTATCACCCTGTTTGCAGCTGTCTAACTATGCACACCATACAAGACAACCAGGTAGGTTATTCCAGAGCATGTTTTGTTTGCGGTGTACGCGCGCCAATCGAGACTTAATACTAATAGTTAATACATCGTGAATCTTGATTAAATTAACAAAATATTTGGTTGAACCTGTATGTGTTTTTACTTATAACAGATGCAGCAGAGCAGAAACATGCGGAAGTGAGTGAAAGATATTCTACTCCTGATGTGACAGAGCACTGTGCACCAGTTTCGGCTGTCTCTGATTGTGCCATTACACAAGTCGTTGAGAAACTAGTTGGACACCAAATGCACGTACAGAACCGTAGAAAGACTACATTTGCCGTAAAGTGTCTTATGACATTTGGCGTTACGGAGGCAGAGGTCATAGCATTGGTGACTCACAATCCACAGCTGATGAACTGTGCTTCCAGCCAGTGGCAGACCTGTATTGAGATGCTCTCCAATCACAGTTTCAGCAGTCGACAGATTCTGAACATCCTCAGTAGCGCCCCCTATGTATTAAAGATGTCGCTAGTAACTCTTGTGCGCGCTATGCAGAATCTGCGAGCCCTTGGATTTGTCGATGGAGACATCCAGCATCTGTTGTCTGAGAATCCGCTCCTGCTAGAGGCATCTCAGAGAGCGCTGGTAGGTAGAGTGAAGCAGCTGCTTACAGCATTCACACGCAGTGATGTCAACAAGATGTGTGTCGCAAACCCAAGTATTCTCAGCGACCCCTGGGAGCAGTTAGAGGAGAAGCTACACTATGTTTTATTCTGCATGGGTCTTTCGCAGACTTCGATTGTCAAGTCCAATCTCATGAAGGTATGTGTTTCTACAGCAGGAAATTCATACTAGAAGTTGTCATTGTATGTTACTGTAAATGTTTATGCATGTCATGTGACATCACATGTGATGTGGTTATTCCTATAGCCCGTAAACCAGGTACCTGCTAGAATACACCCAATGGCATTATCTGGTAAGATCAGCAAAAACAATTATATATGCATGCATGAAGATGCTTGTAAAAATTCATGTAGCGAACAGCCTGTACAGCACACCAGCCCTAGGCTTAGCGTGCATATTTAACATATACTTTATCTTGCAGCACTCCATAGATCACATACAGTGTAGACATGAATTCTGCCTGAGAGCCGGCTTCTTCAAGGTTCCGGATCCGAAGCGGCGCATGAGAACCGACAACGCATCGCTGAGGAGCATCATTGATGCATCGGACTCTAACTTTCTGCGCAGCGTTTGCCGTGGCCTGTTCTCGCTGCGGGACTACCGAGTCTTTCGTTCGATGCTTGCTAACGAGGATAAATATGGACCTTTGCTCAACGACTGGGAGGATGACGATGATGGTGACAACATTTACAATGACGAGCAGTTAAAATAATGTCAGCTGCAGTTCTAGTTTAAAGAGAAATGTTGAATTGTGGACAATAGAGTCATTACAGTAGACATGTCATTATAAAGACTATGCACCATCATTGATGTTCTGAATATTGACGTTTATATCCTCAAATACTCGAGGACTTCTAATATCGGTCAAAGATTATAGCTAAGAGCTGTTGTAAATTATCAGGTGTGATCCCATTGTCACATCAAGTGGCCATGGTTGTAATAAATTGTAGTTTTTGATATCAGTACATGAATAATCTGCAGAATACAAGCCATCAATCTAACAGATGTGTAATTTATGTAAACCGTCTTAACTCGGACCACATACGTTGCTGCTGCACGAATAGTAGGAATTTCATCTGTGACCACACGGCTGTAATAAAATTGTATTTTAAATACGTTCATTTTTGGTTTATCTGAAAAATCTACCTATATTTCATGTCTGGGCGTTCGTATTTAAATAAACCATGGAAAGAGAATACATATGTATGTGCCTACTGAGTATGTTTACATTTTCTCCGGAACAGAGGAGAGTGAGACGTGGTCTATTCACGTTTCTAACAGGGAAACATCAAGTGTAGTCATTTTTCACAAGGATGACAGGAATAACTTAATAGGTAACTGGAATTACTAGGAGCAGGGCCGGCTTAAGCGTGTGGGGGGCCTGGGGCACGCAATTGTGTGGGGCCCTATAGTCTGTATTTTTTCTGCACTTTCATGCTTGCAAATTCAGAGAGTATTTCATCGTGTTTCAACGAATTTAAAATGTCACTTTCGATAGCGAGAATACTGAGGTTTACCAGCCTCTGTTGGCTCATCGTGGTTCTCATGTGATTTTTAATCAACTTGAGTTTTGAAAATGACCTTTCACCGCTACAATTCATGACCATCAATGAAAGATAGATTCTCAGAGCAATTTCGGTATTAGGGAAAGTGTCCTTCAGCTGAACAGCAAAATTCAGTCAGAGAAACAGCATGGGTAACGCATCACTTCAACGTTACATGCTAAGAATTTTGTGGATCACAATTACGACAGATTTGTAAATTTTAGGATACTCTAAATGTGGGGGGCCCGGGGCACGTGCCCCTGTTGCCCCGCCCTTAATCCGCTAGTGACTAGGAGCATTCCGCTGAAACTGTCCAAAGACAGATCCAGGCTGCAGGTGTGGCAGAATAATTCGGTCAGATAATGGTAAACTCGTGGAATATATATTCTCTGCCAGAATCCATGTGGCGGGATCAAAACGATGGATAAGTTAGAGTAAGTTCGAGTAAGACGGCAGCTATTATAGAAACTATTATAGATAACTAGTATTAGAAGGATTGGATACGCTGCAATTTCAATGAGAAGCCACTATCGGTAAATGCTAAAAGATCAAGTAGGAAAGGGTGTAATTTTCTAGCACGCGACATACCCACGTCATTCACCAATTATAATTAGGAGAGCGCTCTAGCATGTAGGGTACAAAACACCTACTTTATGCCCTTGCCTCCCCTGTCCCTCGCTCAGGCTCCTTCTTCTACCGCCTCAGCTATCTTCCCTACCGCCTTTCTCCAGTCTTCCATCCCCTCTTCCCCTCACCACGCTAGATTATGAAGTTTTCCTCAGACGGCCTAACACGATGCGCGCGCATGCGCAATATTTCCCGAGGGAAATCGTATTTTGCAAAGATTATTCATATAAAATGAAGAGGAGTTTTCCTAGCATAGATTTATTTGATATCATTCCACCAGTAGACATAATTTAAGAAATAGGAGGAAGACCTTGCATGTAAGGTCCCGGCTGCGTATACCAGCCAGTACACAATCTGGCTACGTTAGTGTGTTAGCGCGTGCGCAATATCTCACCAGAGGAGTTATATTTTGTGATGAATATGCATTTGAAATGGTTAGGGGATATTTCAGCATATATTTCCATAATAAACTTTGACCAGTAGACCTGTGTTTATAATTAGGAGAACGCCTTAGCATGTAGGGTACAAAACACCTACTTTATGCCCTCGCGTCCTTCCCCTTGCCTCCTCTGTCCCTCGCTCAGCCTCTTTCTTCTACCGCCCCCAGCTATCATCCCTGCTGCCTTTCCTCAGTCTCCCATCTCCTGAAGATTTCCTCAGACGGCACTGCACGCCTAACACGGTGCGCGCGCATGCGCAATATCTCCCGAGAGCAATCGTGTTTTGCAAAGATTATGCATTTCAAATGAAGAGTCGTTTTCCTAGCAAAGATTTATATGATAACATTCCATCAGTTGACATCATTTAAGAAATCGGAGGAAGACCTTGCTTGTAAGGTCGCCGCTGCGTATACCAGCCAGTACACAATCTGGCTACGTTGGTGTGTTAGCGCATGCGCAATATCTCACCAGAGGAGTTATATTTTGTGATGAATTTGCATTTGAAATGGTTAGGAGGTATCTCAGCATAGATTTCCCTAATAAACTTTTATTATTAGACCTGTGTTTATAATTAGGAGAGCTCCCTAGCATGTAGGGTACAAAACACCTACTTTATGCCCTCACGTCCTACCCCATACCTCCCCTGTCCCTCGCTCAGCCTCCTTCTTCTTCTACCGCCCCCAGCTATCGTCCCTGTCGCCTATTTTCAGTCTCCCATCCCCTCTCCCCCGCAGCAAGCTATATTATGAAGTTTTCCTCAGACGGCACTGCACTCCTAACACGATGCGCGCGCATGCGCAATATCTTCCGAGAGAAACCGTATTTTGCAAAGATTATGAATTTAAAATGAAGAGGAGTTATCCTAGCCTAGATTTGTGAAATTTATGATAACATTTCATCAGTAGACATCATTTAAGAAATAGGAGGATGACCTTGCATGTAAGGTCCCCGCTGCGTCTACCAGCCAGTACACAATCTGGCTACGTTAGTGTGTAATAGCGCGTGCGCAATATCTCGCCAGAAGAGTTATATTTTGTGATGAATATGCATTTGAAATTGTTAGGGGGTATCTCAGCATATATTTCCATAATAAACTTTTACCAGTAGACCTGTGTTTATAATTAGGAGAGCGCCTTAGCATGTAGGATACAAAACACCTACTTTATGCCCTCGCGTCCTTCCCCTTGCCTCCCTTGTCCCTCGCTCAACCTCCTTCTTCTACTGCCCCTGCTATCTTCCCTGCCGCCTTTCCTCAGTCTCCCCCACAGCAAGCTACATTATGAAGTTTGCCTCAGACGGCACTGCACGCCTAACACGGTGCGCGCATGCGCAATATCTCCCGAGAGCAATCGTATTGTGCAAAGATTATGCATTTCAAATGAAGAGTCGTTTTCCTAGCATAGATTTATATGATAACATTCCATCAGCTGGCATCATTTAAGAAATCGGAGAAAGACCTTGCATGTAAGGTCCCCGCTGCGTATACCAGCCAGTACACAATCTGGCTAAGTTAGTGTGTTAGCGCATGCGCAATATCTCACCAGAGGAGTTATATTTTGTGATGAATATACATTTAAAATGGTTAGGGGATATCTCAGCATAGATTTCCCTAATAAACTTTTATCAGTAGACATGTGTTTATAATTAGGAGAACGCCTTAGCATGTAAGGTACAATACACCTACTTTATACCCTCGCTTCCTTCCCCTTGCCTCGCCTGTCCCTCGCTCAGCCTCCTTCTTCTTATACCGCCCCCAGCTATCTTCTCTGCGCCTTTCTTCAGTCTCCCATCCCATCTCCCCCGCAGCAAGCTATATTATGAAGTTCCTTAGACGGCCACTGCACGCCTAACAGGTGCCGCGCGCATGCGCAATACATTCTTCCCGAGAGAACTGTTATTTTGCAAAAGATTATGCATTTAACATTGAAAGGAGTTATCTAGGAGCATAGATTTATTGATAACATTCCATCAGTAGACATCATTTAAAGAAAGACGGCGGGAGACTTGCATGTAGGGTCCCGGCCTGCGTATACACGCCAGTACACAATCAGGCTACTTTAGTGTGTAATAGCGCAATGCGCAATATCTCACCCGAGGAGTTATATTTTGTGATGAATACGTATTTCCCTGCCGCCTTTCCTCAGTCTCCCATCCCCTTTCCCCCACAGCAAGCTATATTATGAAGTTTTCCTCAGACGGCATTCCCCGCCTAACATGGTGCCTAACTGGTCTCCTAACCCACGCTAACTATATACTAACCTCAGGGCCGTAGATAGGGGATGTGGGCAAGGGGCAGTTGCCTCCCCCAGGCAAATGTAGATATATTAGATCAAGAGCGTATTAAGTATGTACTTACACTTAATACGCTCTTGACTAGATTATCAATGGTGGTTACCTTCCCAGAACACAACCCGCATGTGAAAGCCCAGAATCCACAGAATGCGTTCATTCCCAGCATAATAGGTTATAGCTACGCTTATATATTATATAAATATAGGCCGACATCTCAATGAGTATGCATGCAATCGTCTTACATTTAATAAATACAGTATATGACTTCATCACATCGTCTCGTAAGGAACTTTGGAACATGTAAATGCAGTGCAAAGCAATATTGCATATGCGAATGAAACTAAACACATGTAGCGATGAAAATCCACGCGAGTGAAAGTTAATTTCGGACGCTGAATAATTGATCCCAGTAGTCTAGAAACTGTAGCCAACTGGTATACTATGATATATATCAGAGGACATACGGTGTAATTAGGTTGAAAGTGCCATTGGAGTCAGTAGTTTTAGAGACCACTCATTAGAGACGTGGCCAACATACGTAGCCAGTGCCTCTATAGAATAGAAGCAACGCATGCAGAAAATAAAGGAACCAGAAGCAGACAGCCAGTGCCAAGGAGGATGAGTTGGAAACGTTCCATAATGACGTAAGAGTGACCATGAGCACTTGACCAATCAATGTTCGAAACCCAACCAATAGGTAGGACAGATAGGCGAGTGGGCCGGCGTGTGAGGGAGAACATGTGTCCACCGAAAAGCTACGCGCAAGAGATATTAGAGAGAAGCCGGAGAGGGGAGAAGAAATAATGGAAGGGAAATGTATGGAAGAGATGTAGGGGGGAGGGGGGAGATAATAGACAAAAGCGTTGTTGACGAGACACGACTGACGATTGTGACTGTGCTGTGCTTCGAATAAAAGATCAT